ATGATATTAAACGATCGATAACGGTCATGGAACTGGAACAAAAAGGTCGATGACGCTCGTTTTCAGCGAGCTTCACCAGCTCACTGAAAGTATTAGAAACATCCCAGCGCCTTCTTAATTGTTTTGTTCACGTTTCTTGCTTCTTAGTATCATATGAACATGATACTCCATTAGAGCAAATATAGCAGCTTGGAATTCTTGGACGCCATGTTCGTATAACATAGTTGATCTAGCGAACGTGTTAGTGATCTTGCTATTGATCATTTGCCATCCCATTTTACTTCTTTATATCTTTTGATGTTTCTAAATAATCCAGTTATAGTCTAATAGATTTAATCAGATTTAATTATTACATCATATTATAATAGTTTTAGTTGTTAGTTGCATAGTAATTCTCTGGTACAACTCTCGTGATGGCAAATAAATTAGTCCTTTAGTTCCTAAGATACATTTTTTCCCAATTGATAACTTTGACTCCATTAGTAAAGGTTGACGATAATTATAGCCAATATCTAGAGCTGTTAATAATTATGAATGGGTGTCCATGACAGTCTAGTCTCTTACATTCTTCAGACACGAGTATTTTCTTTTTCCTGGACCTCTGTTTCCTTCCACTTTTTCTTCCATTATGAGTCGTAGGAAGCTATATTTTCCTTCTCTGTACATATTTCTTTTATTTATAAATTACTTTTTCTCGTCAGACTCTAGCTACGCCCCAACAAATCCGTCAATGTCTTTCAGACACATCAAAAAGGGTTTAATTTCCTTGCCAGTTTACAAAATTACAATTAAACAAACAGCAGATGGCAAGGATAAAATGAAATATAATTATTATTACCTAGCTAAATTCTGTTCAGATCCCTACATGCATATAATCGAGAAACGGGTTTCGAAAGAAGTAAGGTTATGAATATTGAGACTGCTGTCAGAATTATAAAATAAAGATTACAATGAAAGTACTCACCCCAAGAGAATGTTGCAGACCATAAAATAAAGCTTATTATAATTCCTACCTACTTTTATAAATTTCAATTATAAACAAAAAATAATCTAACCATTAAAGGTGATTGACAGAAAGTAGGAAGGGACTGTATGAAGTTAGCACAGATGTCATAGGATGTTCCTATATGATTAGCTTTTTGTCAACATAGAACAGAATATTTAGTCTACCGGACAGAAAGAGAGACGGCGAATATTTATTCTACGGGACAGAAAGAGAAAAAAAAAGACAGACTTTTTGAAGAAGAAAATAGTAAAAACGAAGCTGGAAGTAAAAGAATTAATAAATTAATAAAGATGTGACGTTTGTAACGTTACAACTATATTATGTGAATTATTACAAACTCTACTAATATTTGTTCGACATAGTAAATTCAATACCTATTCTAAAGTTTTTGATGTTGAAGCAGCTTTCAAACGCTATTATCCTCTTCACTGAAAACTCATAATTTATTAATTTGTCTGTAAAATTGTTATTTTTTCAATCGAAGAAATGCATATATATACTTTGACAAAGTTTTTATGCGTTTCAAATATTTACACAAAAAGATCTATTTAATAAAAATGTCTATAAATTAATAAAAATCTTACATATTCATTATACCTGTATTAAATTTATTTAGTGCGATTTAAGTACCTGGGTTATTATTTTTTTAGAGAAAGCTACCCAGAGCATTTTATGAAACTTAAGCACGTTTATCGGTTATATCAAATCTAAATTTATACATTTGGAACCAAAAATAATAAAACAATAGAAAAAACGAAAGGAATCATGATTAATAACATATTTTTAACAATTAAAATTCCAAATTGATTTGTCATTCACCATTCAGCTCTGGTTTGGCATTAAATGACTTTTTTTTTATTCACGTCTTTCAGAAATAAACTGCGTGGATGTTTCTCGAATCCATCGATGTGCATCTCACTTGAAGTAAAACAAATATTTTCAAACTTTGATAATATCTGTTGTAGTGGCAGACGAAATCTCAGGACAAAGCAATTCTAAAAGATTGTTTATAAGTCACAAAAACATTGTGCGTTTAAATCGTTATTGTTTTCTATTATGTATAATCGATAGGCTCAAATTTCATAAATTACTTTTAACTTTCTTTATCATTACAGATATATTTACATTTTCACGCTTTCGAGGCGTGTTCATAACAAAATTCATCTTATATATTCGAGAGTATCGAAACACTTAGTTATAAAATGTTATAAATTTATAAGTACATACGAGTTTATATAACCAATGTGAATAATACAAAATCGTTACATGTCTTTATTATTTCCCTACACGTGCTATGAAAATGATGAAATGAAATATAAGAAAAAGGAAAGAAAGGTAAGTATCAAAAATTGTCAGTTTTATTAAGTCTTTAGTATTAATGGGTTACTATTAAATTTTTGTTATATCATTTGCGTTTTATTTAATTATACTCTTTCATTAATAATTAAGTTTAACAGTTTTTTTAACGTTTCACTTCTTTGCATTTTCACCTTATTTTCTTTATTGCAATAATTCATTTGTCGAATAAAAAAAAGTTTGAGTGCCGTCTACAGCTAGCGCCAATTCTGCCAATTCTGATGAGATCCCATTAGCTTTGCGATCAAGTATCGATTCTCGCATCAACTAAAAAATTTACAGTCTGACCGAAACACATATTTCTCAGCGCATATTATTTTCGGGACTGTACTTACAACAGATATATTTACTTTTTGCTAAGATTTATAGAAAATGTGATTGAATTTCGTTATATTTATGTTTACCAAAAAGTTTAATAAGATAATATTAAAGAAATAATTGAAGATACACTTTATCATACAGTACAACCTCGATAAATCAAAGTCTCAAAAACCTAAACCTCCATTACTCTATGAGTCAAAATAATATCGAAATGCAAGCCATTTTGGTAATATTTTTCCTCTATATAACCTCGAAAAATTATATTGAACCTTTGTATCTCGAACATTGCAATGTTTTATTTTACAACTTTTACAACTCGATTATTGTGTGGGGTTAAACCGCAAATGCTTTCTAGATCCTATTTCGTAAGTGGATCAGTCGTTTTTGTTTATCTTATCTTCTTGACAAAATCTCCCATTTTTTTCTATCTCTAGTTCTTCCTCTCCATTCTCTGACTCCTGCCCTTTGGAGATCTTCTTCAACTTCCTGCAGCCACTTTGACCTCGGTCTTCCCCTTCTCTTTCTTCCTTTTGGATTCCATTCTATCATTGCGTATGTCACTGCTTCATCGCCTGCTCGCCAAATGTGACCTAACCATCTAACTCTGCATTGCTTTATTTTAGCTACGATGTCTTCCAGTTCTTCCTTAATTTCTGCATTTGTTCTGCTTCTATATTCATTTTGCTCTGTTCTGATTGGTCCTAGTATGGTTCTCATAATCTTTCTCTCTGCTATTCTTAAGTCTTCATCTTTTTTAACCATCGTCATTGTTTCTCCTGCATATAATAATATTGGTCTTATTATGGTGTTATAAATGCTCACCCAATTAGCAGCATACGCAGATGACATAAACATAATGAGCAGAACAAAGACTGCGGCAGAAGAAACCTACGTTCAGTTGAAACAGAGTTCAGAAGTTGTAGGGCTAACAATAAATACAAATAAAACAAAACTACTCATACAAACCAGATCAAATAGACAGGCGCAACAACAACAATTTATAGACGATATAGAATACGTGAATAGATTCACGTATTTAGGAATGGATCTGGTCGAAAATAATGAAGAAGAACCGGAAATAAATAGAAGGCTTATGCTGGCAAACAAAGCCTATTTCGCGATGGGCCACATATTCAAATCGCGAGACGTACACCGGAAAACAAAACTCCGGGTATATAAAACAATAATCCGACCCATAGTAAGTTATGGGTGTGAAACATGGGTTATAACACAGAAATCTACCAATGTATTAGACGTGTTCGAAAGAAAAATATTGCGTAGAATACTGGGTCCAATAAAGGAAAATAACAACTGGCGAATTAGATATAATAACGAAATATACGAACAATACACTGAACCAACACTAGCACAATACACTAGACTGCAGAGATTACGATGGACAGGGCATGTGGCCCGCATGCATGAGAACAGAATCCCCAGAAAATTACTAAACGCAAGAATGCAAGGAAAAAGACCTGTTGGAAGACCAAAAAAGAGATGGGAAGACGAGGTAGATGAGGATGCCAAAAATCTCCTAAAAACGCGTTCATGGAAAAGAACAGCAGTAAATAGAGATGTTTTGGAGAGGTTTAATGAAGGAGGCCAAGGCCCGGCTTGGGCTGTAGTGCCATTGGATGGATGGATGGAAATGCTCATCTTACTTTTTTTAGTCAGTGTTTTGTTTTTAAGTAATCTTTTGTTTGCAAAATACGCTTTATTTGCTGCTAATATTTTTTCTTTTATTTCGGATTTCCTTTCTCAGGATTTACTTATTGTAACTCCTAGAGTCGACAACTTAAGTACACCATTTTATAACCTTTACAACTCGATTATTTGAAACTTATTACCTCTAAACAGGTTCTAGTGTAGGATCACGAACGATATGTCATCACTCAAAAATTCAGTGCCTGATATGAGCCCCTTCAAGCACAAGTGATGTAACTCAATTTTCCATAACTCAAGGATTTCACCAATTTTTTAATATTGTAAATTGAGTAAAAAAAAATTAAATTTTACACAAAAATTAAGGCTTTATATCATTTTTCTTTCTTTGCGTTCAAATTATTATGTTTCAGTTGCTTACCAAAGACAAAAAAACTTTTATTTTCTATACTCAACTAGAAAACGCAGAAACAAATTAGGAAGTAAATACAAAGATAAAGTTTAAGATACAAAAAAAGAGTGAAATGCTAAAAAATCAGGCTAAAATAAAACGGAAATCAATTAAATGCAACCCATTAATTACCTTCAAAATTATATAATACTATGTACTTATATTAATAAATGTATAAACAAAAAAAGTATGAAAATCTCAGACCCTTATATTAAAGCTGTTCGTTAATGTGTTGTGCGATGTTATCCTCGGGTGATTTCTTGTGTCATTCTGCCATTTCGTCCATTCTACATCTCACTGCCATTTCTACCACTTCTAAACTGGGATAATCCAATTCTTTAACCAGGCATAATACTGCCGAAAGAATATTTGAGTTCTAAAAATAAAAAAATGTGTCGTATAGAAAAAATAATATAATCAGTGGAAACTTAACAGATATTTATAAAATGACGTAAAAGAAAAATAAATTTTAAGTATTTTGGGACATAAAGAATATGAGCTTTAACAACTATATATTGGGACAAATTAAAGTATATAACAAACTAAGGTGTTTGTTTGACTGTTAATTTCTTATTTTTTTAATAAATATGATAACAACATAAAATATAGCTGTTAGAGCTCGTACTTATTTTTTCCTTTTATGTGTCATGTTTAATCTGTAAGTATTTTCTTGTGCCACGTTTAAATTAAATATTCTTTTATATTAGATTAAACCACAATTAATTGTAATGATAATTACATTTTAAATATATTCGCTTTCAACACTAAATTATAAAAATTATCAGATATAACCTGTACTGTAAACCAATTTGACAGTTTACTTACTTGGCCTAGACCTTTTAGGCTACTAGTCACATGAATGAAATTATACAGCTACCAATTTATTTATTTTTTACATAACATACGATCAGTATCTTGTGTAGTATTATGTATCTTACCCTTGTAACAGGTCTCCGCGTAAAATGTGATCGATGTGCAGCTGGACAAGTATACCTTTCTCGTCCCCCTGCCCTATCTCTATCTGCAGGTACTTGGGTTACGCAATATTCACTTCCTGAATGATAACTGTATCTTTCTCCATTCCCATTGGTATATTCCTGGAAAATATTTAGACAAATAATAATAAAATCACTAAGCATACAAATGAATAGATCATAATGATCATAAAGATGAAAAAGATGTAGTATGAAAATCCAAATAACGTGTATAATGTTTTACTTTTCACGCAGTTTGATGTAATTAACCATTGTTAACCTTTCAAGGCACTTATGCCACCCTTCGGATTTCTTCAAAATATTTGTGGGACATGTAATTTAAAAATATGAAAAATATATTTTACCAGTTCTACTAAAATACCGGCGATCAATTGTAATAATTTACATTTTTGCGATATAAGGAAATTTACACTGCACTGTCCAGTTGTAATTAAATTTGAAAGTCTTGAAATACTTTTAAACTTAACAGCTGTCGATATTATTTTGATAATTGTATCAGCTGTTTTTAATATTTTTATACTCTAATAAACGAAATGTTTGAGCTTTTGAAGAAGGGATTCAGCTTTTCCGAATTTATAAATAAGGTGTCAAAAGATAAATTAAATTGTGTTCAATATTCGTAGCAACTAGCACGTGACACTTCTAGATTTATGTTACATTTTGAACTATTGTTATTTATCGCCAGTTAAAAATAAATATTTACATTATATTTGTGTTCTTTTCCTCATTCTGAGGTTGCCGAAGAACAACTTCAATCTCATCCTTTTACATTGGTCATTCGAGCCGGATTTGAACCAGCGACCTATGGATGATGAAAAAAAAAAAGATCGAATATTGTAGAAGAAATTTAATTTAGCCTTTGGCACCCTATTTATAAATTTGAAAAAGCTGAATCGCTTGTATGAATGAAATATAAATATTTCCTTGCGCAGATATAAAAATCTTACAATTTATTAATCGCCGGAATTTTAGTAAAATTGTTAAAATGTTTTTGAAAGTCATAGCTTTTATTATTACTTCTATCTATTTCACTTGTTTACGTGAAGATTGTAATTGACATTGCGCTGTGAACTTTTTGTATGACTTCTATCATCTTCACATCACAATCTAATTTTATTTAATGACTTATATAGACTTATTGACGTTTATCCTCTATTAATTTCTTCCGTATTACTTTTATTATTTACTTCACAGACTCCATCTCTAACGGTTCCGGTACTTATCTTGAAGATTCTGGTAAGAACCTAATTCTGGTATTGAAAGTATAAAGTACATTTTTAACACGCTGCCTGCCGTCTCGGTCTATGTGACCGAGAAAAAAATTGTTCTGCGCGCCAGCGAGGTCTATTTGACCGAGAATTTTAATGTAACTGTGTTACCGTCTCGGTGACTATGGCGTGAACGGAAAGTATTGCAAATTCCTCTATGGCAGGCAAGGTGTTAAATCTTGATTATAATCAGTATTTTTTTACAGTTTAACATTATAGTTTAAACAATGCTACCTTCGAACGGTTAAAGGTGTAAGTAGTGCGGTGCTAAGAATTTACGATAAAGTGGACAATTCGTGATTATTTACCAAAGTTATTCTCATAGGTGTAAAGGTGATACAGTGATATCAAAAATAAGTAGTTTCGAATGCGATATACTTACTAAAACGACAGGAGATTTATTATACTTGCTCACATTAGAATAATAAGTTACCAACATGGCCATGAGGAAAATATTAATATAATATTAAAGTAAAGCATCCTGCAGTGAGGGAAGGAAGGAAATGCAAAATAAATTCTTCAGTAATGTTCAGACTTCTTAATCGAACTCTATTGTTAAATACAATAAAATCTTGATAAATTGAATTACTGACTTCTAAATCCAACGATTTGGACAAAATAGTTTATGTGAAATAATATTTTTTCCAAAAATATATTGGTGGAATATCCTGGACTACAAAATAAGATAAAAAGAAGAAGAGAAACAGTAAGAGTTAGCTCTAAACTTGACGGTGTAGAATAGATTTATTGTTCACTAGTTACCATATCAACATTTTGACATTTACCATTTAATGAGAAATGCTAACGTGAGATATTTTAGTATGGTCGTAGAAAAAATATAGTTATACATATCTGTGTACCCACCTTGATGCAGCTGGCCGACTGACTATTAACTAACTTCGTTTCGCGGTAAGTCGTTGTGACGTCGTTGGATTCCCCTTCGAATGATGTATTAGTAGGTGATGATTTCTGTTAAACAATTAGTAGAAACCATGAATCATTATGACAATGAAAATAATTATTTAGCCAATTAATAATTATGTATATATGCAGTAAAATGACTAATTTTAAAATTGGTGATAATATGAAATAAAATAATGGTTCTTGTATAGTAGATCCTTTTAATATTTGAAAAGTTCGGAAGTTTTTACTCGTCGATTTCCATAAAAAGATTAATTTTATAAAACAAACTGGATTTTTTAGTATCTCTATACTTAAAGTATGATCATTATAATGTTTCTAAATCTTACAAACCCTAATATGTATTATTATTTAAAAACAAATATTTGTTGGGTTTAAAAGATATGAAAATCAATATGAGAAATTGTACATTCACTCATTATTTTTGCTTTATCTACGCTGGGTGTACTATCAATGAAAATTTTAGATATTTCATATTTACAAACTTTTGACACATTTTGACTTCGTTTACTACTGGCCTAAAAGTCCGGTAGTGGTCAAGTTAAACTATTTTTGAAGGTTATGTAACCAGAATATTCTTCTTCTTCCTGAACCGCTTTTTCCATGCATCTTACCTTGTAAGCATGGTCTGAAGTAGGTCGTATGGTTGTTCATTACACATTATATGGCCAAATAGTATGCGACGCTTTAAGGTCGATTCAGACACATCAGTCACGTCTCGTCACAGTGATTGCGCCGAACCGAACAATCCGTCATACAAAATATTCTTTAATACAAATATGTTGCCGGCATTCACACTCATCAGTTGACAAACAGTTACCCAGCTGTCAGATAGTTGATAGTTCTGTGACCAAACAGGACCGGTTCGGCGCCGAGACTATGACGGGACTGATGTGTCTGAATCGACCTTTATGGTTATGACCAGTTTGTGCTATTTACTTATTACCAAACTTCCTTGGAAATCCTCAACATGCGTCTATAGTACCACATTTCAAATGCTGAGTCTCTTCAGGTAGGATTCATGACTCCACTCCATATAGAATAACCAAGAATACGTACCATTTTAGTAAACGAACATTTATTTTCAATTTTATATCACGACTGTTAAAGATTTTTTCATTTTAATGAGAGCTGATCTTGTCTTCTCGATCCTTATCTTAATTTCGTCGAGTGTTACTACTGTTCGTTTAAATTCGCACCCAAATAGCAATACATAGTTGGTAACGTGTGATAAAAATAAATTTAACACAACATGAACGATATGGTGATGGTCTTACTTACTATAACGCTAATGTTTGTGTGACTCGAGTGTTTACATGCAACATATAAAAATATGTGTAAAAAACTGAGTTTAAACAAACTAGCTAAACTTACATCATAATATTGTTGTTGCCTCGGAGACTCCCTGTCGTATGCAACTGACCTCCTCTCAACGTATTCTTGTTCCGGTGAGTAGGTTCGTCTCTGGACCTCTTGCTTTTTCGGCGAAGACTGTACGAAATAAAAATAAATTAGGTGAAAAAATATACGTTTTGAATAGCTTATTCAAATCTACAAAGCTTACTTGAAATGAAATCCTGATTATTATCTACTAAATATTTTAGTTTTAGTAGTACTAAATAGTTTTTATAAATGCATTCCAAAAAGCATATACGAGCCCCTTCCCATATCAGTTGGCCCACCTATGGAATTTGCAGATAAACAAATTATACTCTGCATATTTTTATAAGTTATTAATTACCCTATGATTTTTATTTATGACAACGTCAGGTTCCCAAAACTTCTGTATAATTCAAAGTTGTAGCGCCTACGCCACAAACCCTGTTCTTGGACTCCTCTATATCTTTTCCTTAGAATTTTTCTCTCGAAACGTTTCAGCAATTATTGGTCGTTCTGTGTAAGTGACCACGTTTCTGACTCGTATGTTAACACTGGCCTTACTATGGTCTTATATATGGTAACTTTAATTTTTCTGGGTAGTTTTGGGACCATCTGTTTCCTCAAGCCATAATAGCAGTTATTGGCAAGCACTATTCTTCTTTTAATTTTTTTCGCTGACATTGTAATCTTTGGTCAGCAGCGAGCCCAGGTGTCCACACCTTCTAGTTCCAGATCATCAATTAATAGTCTAGGTATCTAGTTGCCTGATCTAGTACAATACATATACTTGGTTTTCTGTGAGTTTATTTTTATTCCCATTCTCAGTGTAGACGCCCTTAATGATCGAAATGCTTCAATCAGAGATTCTGTGGACCTAGCAATAATGTCTATGTCATCTGCGTATCCGACCACTTGTACAGATTTATGCACTTGCTTCATGTACAAGTGGTCGGACTAAATAAAATAGGTACACTTCATGTACTTATCTTATTTAGACCCGTAAACTGAGAATTTATTCTGAATTGATTAACTTTCTTTGCCTGTTTTGTTTCCAATTAAAAAATATCTTAGTATTTGAATTAATTATTCTTTTTATGTTTTGTTTTTTTGAGATATATAAATTAATACTAAACTAAAACAGAAACTAAACACATCAATTACAAAAAGCAGAAAAAGCTCAGTATTAGCAGTGAGAGGCTGTTAAGATGATTCTTACCGTCCGGGGCGGTGTGAAATCCCGACTTCCTTCAGATGCATCTTCACCTGCATACAATTCTTCACTACCTTCAACGTCTTCATAATCTGAAGGTTGTTGAACTCTTGTCTAAATGAATTGTTAATTTTAAGGTTAATTAATGATAAAAGCAATGTTTTAATATTTATTTGAATGATAAAAATGTTGCAAACTTATTATAGCCTATCATTCGTATACATAAATTCAAAAAAGTCGAAAAACATACAGAACAATACAGGATAATAGAACAAAACAGAACACCACAAGAATGGAGATCAAGCATCCTAATACCTCTCTTCAAAAAAGAGGATAAATTAGACCCGAAAAACTACAGAGGTATTAAATTATTAAACACAACAATAAAATTAACAACAAAAGTAATAACAAATAAACCGAATGAAATTATAACACTAGCAATAGAACAAGGTTTTAGGTCGTGAAAAAATTAAATGACGCTATCCATTTATTGGATAACGTCCGGAATCGGACGTTAGAAGAATAGGAGTCGGAATAATCGTATCACCCAAGGTTGCCAAATGCGTTACTAACTTTACACCAACCACCTACACCTACAAGTAGAAGCCAACCCTATTAATATAAACATCATCCAAGTCTATGCTCCCACTGCATACAAAGAGGAGGAAGAAGCAATTGAGTTCTATCAGAATATCAACAGTATCGTACAGAAAATTCCTCGACAGGGCCCGTATTTTCGAAACCGTTCGAACGGAAGTCGTATGCGAAAGATGATGAATTTCGAACGAAAATCGATGATTCGTATTTTCGAGTTGATTTCGAACGCATCGTATACGACGATTTTCGTACACGACTGCTCGAGTGGGTATTCACCATTCGAATAGCGGTAAACACACGGAGTTTGACATTTCTGACTTTTGCATTTAATTTGGTTTTTAATTGTTTACATAAGTGAGATGGCCGGCCTAAATTTTTAATTGAAAGAAATGTTTTAAATGCCTTAGAAGATGCAGAAATGTTAGCGAATGTGGAGAATAGAGTATACCATGCATTTTTAAACCCTCTTGAAGCCTTATCGGACAAACAATTTGGGCTTGGACAAACATTACAAGGGGCTATTTTTTACTTTTTATGCATGTTACAATAGGTATCAAGTTATACTTATCTACATTTTGCTTTCGCTCCATTGTTTCCACTCTTTCTTTGCTCCTGGCAAAGCATTTAATATTTGGCCTAATTTCTGCCACATTGTTTGGGCAGTTTTATATATAAAATTGTTTGTAAATTTCCCACTTTTTAAATCGGGATTTTCTTCCATAAAATCTATCAGTTCTTTTTTTATTGTTCGGAAGATACAAATCCTCCGAACATGGAATTTTTATTTTCTTTGTCCATATTGGAAACAGAGAAAACAGATAAGTACGAAAACACAAACCAAACACGTTAACACTGTGTAGAAAATTAAGCAAATCACAAAAAACTAAAAACCTTCAAGTCTGTTGCAACAAGTAAAATAAACTTGTCAGTCAAATAAATGTCGCCTGTCACCTCTACCTCTTCTTTTCTTAATTTCGTGCGAATTTGCGGCGTTGCCGGTGAATTTGAGTTAACGGATTCTCGTATGCGATTTAAACTTTCGAATTGCGTTCGAAAATACGCTTTTACGTTCGTGCACGATTTTTTTTTCGTTCGAAACTAATCGCATGCGAATAAATTCGAACATATTCAAAAATGCGACCCCAGGAAGTTCTCATCATTATGGGCGATTTTAATGCCAAAATTGGAGCTGGAGATAAGTACATTGGAGCACATGGACTTCATGGAGTCAGAAACGAGAGAGGAGACCTCCTAGAAAAGTTCGCAGAAGACTCAGAAATAGTTATCACCAATACAACAAATTACCACCTCGCAAGCTGTACACGTGGAAATCCCCTCAAGATAGACTCAGGAGAATTATTAGGAATCAAATAGACTACATTTTACAGGTTTACATCTGCCAAGACTTATCCTGGAGCAGACTTGGAGACAGACCACGTTCCACTTGTGGGAGTATTTCGAGTCAAACTCAAAACAGTACAGAAAATGAAAGCACAATCATACGACCTACGTATGCTGAAAGACCTTGATACGAAGATGAGAGTCCAAGCCACGTTAAACGAGCAAGTGACCTCAATTAGCGACGAATCGAATGAAGAACAAACGATCAAACATATTACAGAAATAGTGCAAAATGTAAAGGATAAACACTTAAAGAGACATAGATTAGTGAAGAAAAAATCATAGGATGACAGATGAGATCCTGAAACTCTTTCTCTCAGTTTTCCTTATGCTGCCCACCCGAGACCAATTTTTCTCTTCACTTCATGAGTCTGATTATCCCTGCCAATCATCTCATGTCCTAAGTATTTATATTTATATATTTCTAGTTCTATTACTTGACCACCGATACTGATGTTCTGGTTGGTATCACATTTATCATTATTTCTAGATGGTTATATTTAAACCAACATTTTCTGTAGCCACAAAGAGTTCCCGTACCATCTCTCTTGCCAATTCTAGATCCTCAGCTATTGTGACTGTATCATAGTGATTTTCCTTGATTGCACAGGATATTTAATCGTAGAATATTTGTACTTTTTCGACTGAATGTCCTTTAGAATATATCTAGTAATTAATTTGATTTTTAAATAGATCACCGTTTTTGAGATTTGGTTTATTGACACAATTCTGTTGGCAATTCTTTTGTTAATAAAGAAATTCATGGAAATTAAAGGAAATTAAGAAAAATCGACAGTCGCCTTCGACTGGGAAACACTAGCTCAGAAATATCTAAAGAAGAAATCATTTTTAAAATAAATTTCCTAAATTTGTGTATTCATTTTTCTTTTATGCAAGCAAACATTAGTGAAATATGATATTATTGTGTTAAAAACTTATTTTAAGTATAAAAATTAGCAAAACCATTTTACCTCCTCTCTTCTTCGTGGACTAATATGCGGTGGACTATTTTCGTTTTCTGAGTAATGATCCCTGGAGGCCGATCGCTGAATAGGCATTGTGTGCTGTACATATTCCTCCTCGCTTTCGTCTTGACTGTCTTCGGGATGAACTAGAATTTTACCATTACGCTGAGCCTCTCTAATTTCTTCCGGAGTCACTTGAACATTATCTAGTTTTTGTAATTGAGGTAAAGCTCTAATTACGGCCAGCCGATATCTAAAAATTAATTCAAAAAAGTATAATACTTAAATATTTCTTACTAGCATTTTATTATGATTTTGCATGGGTTCGAATACGTGAAGATATACCTTGAGTAATAAAGAGTTTTATACGATATCATCGTATGAAACGCAGAGCATAATTTATCCTCAATTTTTTAAATGTAAATACAGGTGAGTTGTTTGCAATACTTAAAAGCAATGAACTCTATTTTCCATACTAATTAATAACGAGAAATAAATTCAATATCACAATTCAATCATTAACAATTTTTTCTTTCTCATTCACACTCAACTCAAGAGCCGTTTCTGCAGTCAAACTCTTTCTCTTCTGACCACCCTCTGAAGACGACCTCCTCTGCTGGAATCCAACAACCACCACCGAATAACATCAGTGACCAACGAGCGAATCAGTGCCGCTACCCAATAACACAAATCACATCCTGAAGAAGTGACAAAGCTCACCTAAAACAGAACTCATAGAAAATCCATCTTCGAAATACACCCAACTACCATAAACCAAGCTACAATGATGGATACTAATAAAAATGTAACTATATGCACCGATTCGTTAGCATTAATCCATTCCATTAAAAATTATTTTTCAAAACATTTTTCTTTTCCTTCTTAATGTACCGTGTCCTTTCAGAACGTTGGTTACCAATGTAGCTTTCTTAATATTACTCAATACCATTCTAAACAGCATGCTTGTATCAATACTATACCAACCTCGCAATTTCTTCAACCTTTTTTGTCCTGAACCACTTTTGCCTGTTATTGTCCTTGTTTAAATTTGTTTGCCTTGAATAATATCTTTGTAGCAACCTAGATTTTGAACCTCTTCATTACATGTTCGAAATACTCCAGCTTTCTCTTTAAACTTTTTATAATCTCGGTGGTCTTGCTGAGACGTTCTAGTATTGTGGAGTTTTAAATCTTTTCCACCTAAGAAACTCAAGAAAATTCTCATATAGAACCACATTTCGAAAGCCTAAAGGCATTTTAGGTCACTTTTATTCACAGTCCAAGACTCGACACCATAAAGTAAGAGAACATCTAGCAGCGAAGTAGGAAGATCCGCAATGACAATTTTAGATCTCTGCTACATAATACCTAGGACAGTCTACTGCAAGCTGCTCTGACATATTCAATTCTGGATCTAATTTCATGAAGACTCTCTGCGTTACAATTTAACTGATATCCGAGGTAAACAATTTAATTAACTTGCACTAGTTTTGTACTACTTACATATACAAACGGTTTTATATCCTGTTGTTTAGTTATTACAACTATTTCAGTTTTCCATGTATGTTCACATCCACAGCTGCTTCTTTATAGCTCTCAACGATACAGTCACTGTCTTGAATAGAAGCTAGGAGTACTATGTCTCCTAACATTCCTGTCAAATATCTATTGGTGCAACTCACTACTCATAAACAACGTGTATTACAAGGAATGTATGTATCCATACTATAGATACCTACTCATACAAATATTGCACGAAACAAAAAGGCTAATGAAACTCTAAAATCTACAGATATACAGACTTCGAACTTCAAAAATCTAATACGCAAAAATTGGTAAGAACATTGGAACAGATCAACATCTAGGCTCTATGAGATTCTTCTATTACAATATTGAATAAACCAAATTGTATTCTTTCAAAAGAAAAGAAAAAATAATGTAAGGAGATTAAATACTGAACATACCAGAATCACCTCTCACCATTTAATGGAAGAGGGAATCCTCCGATATGTTCTAACAGTAATAGTAACTTCTGTGATGAATAATATTATTAATTGTCCAGTATACGAGCCTTCCACAAAACTCAATAATCTAAAAGGAAGTTAAGGGATGAATTCTGTTTATCTAATTGTTGTACTGCTTCTGTACATATCTTATCTGAACAAAGATCATTCAGAAAAAGAGGTAACATATTTTTTGTCAATAATGATTCTATTAGTTTTCATTGTCTAATTATTACTTACCCTTCACTATTGGCACATGGGTTTTCCCCTAACCATAAATTTTTCAGGTTGGGCAGGCACTGCAGGTACATAACTTGACAAACGTCTCGTATATCATTTTGTCGTATATAAAGTTCTTCTAACCGTTGGCAAAACTGAAAGTCCACTAACGTATTGATTTTATTTATACTGAAACAAAAAATATATTATAAAATATTTGCATATAAAATTAAACCATGTCTGTATTAGCTTTACTTTTTTAGGGAACGGAAATAACCGGACCCTAGCGATAATAATAAATTATAATACCGGATAATAATAAATTAATAACGGACCCTAGCGATATACTTAATACTTGGAAATGTACACAGCCAATTTGTTCAATGATGACAGAACACAAAAACCACCACAACTGGGAGACCATTTGTATGGCCCAAGTATTTTGAAAGCTGAAATTGTACACGCTATCAAACTATTAAAAAGTAACAAAACCCCAGGACCAGATGATATGTACGCAGAAACAATCAAGTTACTTAATGAAGAAAACCTAGACATTATTGTCAAGCTCTTTAACGACATCTACGATACGGGCCAGATTCCAAAAGATTGGCTTCGATCTACATTTATCGCCCTACCAAAAAACACCACGTGCGAACTTCTGCAAGGACCACACGACTAATAAGCCTAATGAGTCACTTTTTAAAACTTTTCCTGAGAATACTTCACACTAGATGATTAAGAAATATGAATACCTACAAGAGTTGGGATTGGATGCAAAGGATATAAGAATCATCGCCAATCTGTATTGGAATCAGACAGCAACAGTACGTCTTCAAAATTCCAACGAAACAGAGATTTCTCCATTAAAAAAGGAGTAAGGCAAGGTTGTATAACCTGTATATATGATCTAACTCTTGCAAGTGAAGCTCGGGGTTTGAAAATAAATATCAAGAAGACAAAATCAATGATTATAAGTAGAAATGATTACCCAACGCAAAGATATATGTCTCTGGAGAAGAAATCGAACAAGTCAGGCAATTCAAATACTTGGGATGTTTGCTGAATGAGGGTTGGGACCCCGAGAATGAAATAAAGAACAGAGTTGAACAAGCCAGAAATGCTTTTTTGAGGCTTCGTAAGTTTCGACTGATCGCAAATTGGACTTCAACCTCCGATACAAGATGCTTAAGTGTTACGTGTGGCCTGTTCTCCTGTACGGAATAGAAGCATGGACGTTAAAGGCCAGTTCCATTAATAAACTTGAAGTGTTTGAAATGTGGTGCCTGCGTCGAATGCTCAGAATATCATGGACGGACAGGGTCAGAAATGAGGAAGTACTCAGAAGAGCGGGCTTACAGGATAGGGAACTTTTTAATTATGTAAAAAAGTAAGAAGACTGCATACTTGGGGCACATAATACGAGGAGAACGATACACTTTTCAGCAACTGATACTCGAAGGGAAGATAGAGGGTAGGAGAGGTCTCGGACGTAAAAAAATGTCATGGCTGCGCAATATTCGACAATGGACTGGAATCCACAGCTATGAAATGCTTCGCAATGCTGCTAAAAACAGAATTATTTAACCCAGAATATTTAACATCTCACCTGACAAGACGATGTACAGTGGACGCCTACGCAGAAATGCACGGCACCTTAAGAAGAAGAAGAAGGAAATAACCTTATTTAAGTCAATAAAAGCGTTATATGCGTTCGGTTTAATATAAAAACACAGTGATGAAGTTAATAAAAATATTTTAAGAGTTTCATTTATACACTAATATTTAAACAAAACTATAAAATAAGTCTTGAATATCTAGGTTTAACGTTAGTTATTTTATTTCCTATAATAAAAGCTGTGCAAACGGCCATGAATTCACAGACCATTAAGCAAAAGATAAAAGATTGAATGTAAGTTACAACGTAGAAACTTTTTGAACGATTTATTACAAAATTAAATATGTCAATTTTAAAAGGCGAAAACCTCGGCTTTGATATTCCCATAAGATTTTTTTGCATAATAACATTCGTGGGAACACCCAGACTAAGGATTTAAATGTAGCATAGGCAAAAGTTGTCACACTTTTCACATACGATGTAGGTAAAAGTTTATGGTTGGTATAGTAGAATTTAACAGGATATCTTATTTCCCCTTGGTCTCCCCTCCACATTTCTTATGCACGCCGTTCCCCATTAGTGGACGCCAGACGATTATTTCCGATCCAGCTTATACGTAAGAAACAGCGGCAGGGTTACCTTATTATATATTATATATCTGAATTAAAACATTGAATTGATTCAAAAAATTGGCGATCAGTGGTCGCAATTGGTTATATTGCCAGTCAAAACAGGATGATGCTATTAAAATTATTAACCGCGTAAGTGTAAAGATAAAAATTTGATATGCCGACTGTTTATACAACAGAAGAACGGGTACAAATAATAAAATTGTACTTTGGGGGCAATTCAGTGCAAGAAACTATTGATTTATTTATGATGGCTTTTGAAAATAGGCCAATACCTATAGAAAAAATGTATTGGCCATTATTCATCAAGTTGAAAAGTTTAGCTGTACTAATGGCAGATGTAAAAAATGCTGCCCATCAGATCAACCTCACGAAAAGAAAATTTCTCGAGAACGAGAAATTAGAGAAATTCAAGTTTATGCATTGGCTGAAGCGACGCTGTGTTCTTCAAGTAAACAAATTGTCGATGAAGTTGATTTGAATGCAAAAACAGTGGGAATATTCTGAAAAGAAACAACTACCATTAGAAATATATATATATATATATATATATATAGTATATATATATATATATATATATACCAAGAAATATTTCCTGATGATCAATTTAAACGGATGCAACTTTGTGAAATTATCATGCAGTATTTGCAGTATCCACAAAAGTTGAATGTTTGGACTGGCATTTTGGGAGACCATATTATTGGTAATTCTTTATTGAAGGCAATTTAAACGCAGTCAAATATCTCCAATTACTGCAAAATCAAATTAGTCCTGCACTTCAAAGTCTTCAAATTAAATTCAACGAAATTTGGTTTCAACAAGACGGCTGTCCTGCACATAATGTAAAAGCCGTTAGAGACTATTTTGCGTTAATTTTTGCTGAACGTGTCATTAGTACAGACGGTACAATAAAATGGCCCCCTCGGTCACCCGACTTAGCTCCTCTAGATTTTTATTTTTGGGGGATGCTAAAAACGAAATTGTACAGGCATGAAGTTCGATCGAGCCACCAACTTAGAGGAACTTAAGGAAACCATTAGCCAATATTTTATCTACACAACTTTGTTGTTGTCGTTTATACACAACTATAAAATATGTAGGTAGGCTACTAGCGTAACTAATAGTAAACTACATAAACAGCATCGTAGTGACTTCACCAAAGAGGTATCTGAATCGTTAGAGTTCAAGTTATGATACCGTTTATTTACTTTTTCACCTGTTATTTCAGGTTATGGTTTGTGATAATGAATTAATATTTAACAACTGCACGTAGTCACAAAATACAAGTACCCAGTTTTTTATTCGGCAGTGTATTTATCATATCGATCCCATTTCATGAATTTTGCCAAATTATTAAATACATCTCAGAAAATTGAAAATTCAACCTAGAGTTATGAAAAACTCTCGTCAAATCTAGTGGAAGAATCAACTTCGTTTCTCTGCATTATTTTAATACAAGTTTAATTTGTAAACTTTTACTTTTACCTTGAAATACTCAACTGATCCACATAATATACAAGCAAGAGTTTTATTTACATTCTTCGATCTAGTGGCCCGGATTTGTCGTGACATAATCGAAATTCAGTAGCTACTTATCAAGTAAAGGTTGCCTAATCTAGGAAGTGCAGGTAAACTAATAAAATAGGCCAGGTGTTAATAGACATAATTCTGTATTCGTTTAAAATGTATAAAAGATTATTACGTTTAATAAAACGAAATTAACTCCGTTGTCACTATGGTAAAATTTACAATAAACAACAAAAAATATTAAAGGTTTATTAACATTAAATGGCCAAAATCTTTGTTTCATATATCATTTTAACTAATAATCAGACAAGGCAAACAGACGAGGATATATACAATAGCAATTAGATCTATAATGACAGACATAATGGAGGCGAGATCAGACACATCCCAACGAAACAACTAGAAACGACAGAAATGAGAATACTCCGTCAGGGAAATGCCTACTGGATAGATCGAAAACCGAGAACATAGAAGGGTATGAAATAGAGAAGACATAAAAACTAGATATAGGTAGAACTCAGGGAAAACAAGTGAAGCCGATATTTTAAAGTTTTGGTACGCATGTTGTCCGCTAGGCGAAACAAATAAAGGGGTAAAAGATTTAAACAATGTTTGAAATTTCATCTGTTTCAGGTAATATTTACATGGTATTTTATGAAAGTTCTTTTTAAAATTTTAATTAAGATAATGTCCTGGTCGAAAAATAATCACTTTTTACCTATTCGCTCCGTGCGTGACTGATGCGACACCTACCGCCTTCATCTGACAATTTTGGAGTCTCAATTTTCAGGTTAAATATATGACATATGTTTGACATTGTTAAATACATGCGAAATTGACAATTATTAATAAATTAGTTTTTTAACTATATTTTTTCAGTTTATGTACAAAATAAATGTAGTATTAAAAACTGAGTTTCTCAAAATTCATCATAATATATCTTTTCAACTCCAAACGGAAAAGAAAGCGAAAAATCTAGTACTGGCAAATCAAGTTTTTCACGCAAAAGAGCATATAATTAAAAACAATAATAGTAAAAGTTATGATATAAAAGCTAAAGTCATCTGCAGTTAGCTTGAAGCCTTATGAAATATTATTCAAGGTAAATTATTTAAATTGTTCCTATTTCAATTGCATAAAAATGAAATTATGTGATATTTACTTTTTTATATTAATAGCACGAATTCATCTTTTTCTTTTCTCTAATTTATATGTAATCTTTGGGAACCTATAAAAACTACACTCACTGTTTTTGCTATTATTAGCAGAATTAAATAGGCAACATGTATTTGCACACATTTTTGATAAAACTTATGCGTAAAAATATTTTGTCCAATATTCCAATTTTGTCATATTTCGCCGCTACGCACGCTGGCATCGTTTCAATGTACCCCTACCATGGTCACGCACGGAGCCGA